ACATTAAGGGTATAGAAATGAAACGTTGTATACCATCAATCTAACATAGGATCCTAAATAGCTCTTTAGTGTGTCTAACCAATTATTCATGAGATTGAATTGATGGTTGAAACGTTGTGAACATTACCTAATGTCCACAACGAAAATTCAATCATCCTTCTTGTAGCAGAAAATTTATAATTTGTAAATTGGTCATGGCTATGTGATAAGTGTTGGTGATGGGTACCTATTAATATCAAATTGCGAAATTTATGCTTTTTGGACTTTATGTTCTGTCCTTAGAAAAGGCAATTTAAAAATGTTGAACTTTTCCAAGATAACTAAAGTCTTTTTTTGTTTTGAGAGGGTAGCACGTAATAGTCCTTAGATTAATAAACTTGTGGCCCTCTATATATTCACTTATACTCACTACCTCAACATTCATTATTTTACTACACGACACTCCTCACAGCTAGTTTTTGACTGAGGGAGGAAAACCAGCGGACCTGGAGAAAAACCCTCGGAGCAAGGAAGAGAACCAGCCTACAAACTCAAATCACATATAGTCCCRDAYYRGGAATCGAACCAGGACCACAGCGGTGATAGACAAAAGGTTAACTTTCATGTGATCAAAAGGAATTAAAAAGATCCACTGAATTTCGAAATTAGCTTTTTTTCAATGTCTCATGTGGAATCGCCCAGAAAGCAGAACCCGGAGCTTCAATAGTAATCGTTCCCAAACCATTCGCTAAACCAAGTACACACAGGTCAGCCAGTCTCACGTTAACAATATTATCAAATACGAGGCAACTTGAACACAGTACTTACCCGCTTATAAGAACCCATTTTTTCCAAATTTAGCCTTAACTGCCAGTTCTTATATAAATGGTGCTTAATGGTTTTATGCTACCCAGGTTCTTATTCATCACTTATGTAATGAAAATTTACAAGGTTTTTAAATATTATTTATATCAAATTTAGAAGGGCATACATGTCCAAGCTGACTACAGTTTGACATGCTTTTTTTTTCATTTTTTTTCATTAAGAATTCTTTAGGTTAATTTCTTTTAAGAACCTATCCATAAGAACCTGTTTCAAATTTAGGCTAAATAGGTTATTAAGTAAAAAAGGTCTATTTTAATATTTTCGACCCAGTGGAGTAGGCTGCCTGTCATTTTATTCTATCCGAAAAATCGAAGCTAAAACGCAAAGAGAAATTGAAAATCTTTATAAAATAGCTTTTAAATGTCAATCAAATATTTATCGTTATAGAAATAGAATTTTATCTTAAAAATTAAATACCAAATATTTTTTTCTTTAATACAACGAGACTCCCCTCCCTGATAAAAATATTTGTTCTGTGTTCTACGCGCGGGTTCTCCATTGCATGCGAAGCAATGRCCGACTTCACGAAGACTTCAGAAGGTCGTCAGAAGCGCTGTTCAAGTACAAAGTATCTTAGGAGGAACCATTTCAAATCCTTTTTCTTAGCTCTTGTTTCCTCTAAGCTTTGAGGTATCTACAACATCACTGGAAGAGCTAGAGCAGCTTAGTTAGGTCCACGTATTCGTTTGTTATTTGTGGTACAAACAACTGTCGTAGTTCATCCTTTGTCGCATTTTCGGCAATAAGCCGCAAGCGTGCTCGACGATTTGAGGGGGGAGGGGGGTAAGAGCTATAGTTTCGTAGAATAGTCTATTCAATAGCTATTTTCAAGAATAGTTTATTCAATAACATACTAAAAGCTAGTGATCGATCTAATAAACTATTCTTGAAAATGAAGCGCGATGGCGTCGAAACGTCGAAATTAACTCTTGTTGTCTTTTAAAACTTGTTTAACCAAACTTATGAAGCACAAACAACTAATACGGTAATTTGTTCTAGAATAAAATGCCGTAWTTATCCAATCAAAAATTGTAATTACGATTGTACACTTGTCAACAAATCAGAATTGATAAGTACGATACGGCTACGATACGGTTACGATACGGTTTAATACGGTACGGGCGCGATTCGTCATCGCCGTTTCCTAGTCATACGAAATCGCCTCTAGTGGCCTAGTAGCGTAGTGGCTTATTTATAGCATAGTTGCGTAGTTGCGTAGTAGCGTAATGCCGTAGTGGTCAGTGGCGTAATGSCGTAGTGGCGTGGAAAAAGTACGATATTCTTTTCATGGYCATTAAGCGTAGTGGCACGGGCTTTTGCTGAATCTTAAGTTGAATGCAACGAAGTGTAAATACATAAATTATAACTCAAGTCAATCCTTCAGTTGTCTTTCTAAAAGTGACCCGGAATTTCAACCAAAGATTTAGTGTGGAGGWAACTTGAATATGGATTTAGAGACCAAATAGGATTCGATGAGACATCTTAGCTTCATCTATAACATTAGCGAAGGGAAACATTTTAATGAGGAGTGTATCATGGTGATAGAATTATTTAATAATCATTTTCTTCACAGGCAACCCAAGCAGAGCATTGGAATTTTTAAATACAGTGAATATATGGGATTCAAAATTGTTTTTTTTTTTAATAAAATATATTTTACCTTAATTTTTATGTAT